TACTCTATTGAAATATACAAATTGTTCTTGCTGACTTATCTTTCCCAAGGCTGTAGATGATTTCTCAGATTCTAGGTAGTAGATTTACTGACAGTAAAATAATCATAAAGGGAAAGTTGTGACTGAGGGCTGTTTTTCCATTGGTACAGCCTCACTGAAGCTGTTTACTTAGGAAAAATGGTTTATATTGATTTGATCAAGAAGTAGGGAGGATATTGAAAGCAGCAGAGTCTGCTTTGATCCAGAAGACATCTGCTAGCTCCAGAGAAAGAAAGGCTTTTAAAGATGATGGACGATGGTCTCTGTGCTTTTGTACAAAATCACCATTAAACGTGAGACACTAAATATGTAGACAGGCATGTGTGCGTGCATGCACACATACACACGCACGCACACACACTAACCAGCCCCGGTGGCACCATGCCGTGGTTACGGGAACAGAATGGAGAATTTCCAGAAGGATGTAACTGGGATCAGTTCCTGAACTCGCCATCAGGGCAAGGGCCAAAAGGAGGTCATTGAGCTTAATGAGAGCAGATTTGGCTATTGACCAGAAGCCAAGCTATACAGAGAAAGAAAAATGCAGTGCAGTGATTTTACTAAATGAATTCAAGATTGTATTTTCACTTAGGTTTTACTACTGAGAAACCTAAAAATGGCAGGGGGGAACTGTTGAGACACCACTGTTTATGATCATTAATTTATTCTTAATCCAACAGATGGATATTATAAACTGACTTTGCCAAAGACAGAGGCCTAGGTGTCATGGGGGAAACAGAGACAAGACACAGTATTTACTTCCCATTTGATCTGCTTATAATCTAGCAGGAAATAATGGCACTAATAATAGAATAGTAACAGCAAATGCTTATACAGTGATTACACTGTATCCATCACTATTCTGGGTGCTTTAAATTTGTTAATAATTTACAGCAATCCTATTCAGTTGGTGAGGTAGGCAGGTACCTAAATGTGATCATGTCATTTAATCTAATGAGGCACTGATTGCTCTTAGAACTGGAAGAATGGCTGTGTGTTATAGCAGAAAGGGAACTGGGGTTCACACAGTGTGTCTGCCCCAAGTATACATAAATGTAGGGTTTTCACTGCTATTTAGTTTCAATAATACCAAACATGCATCTTTTTAAATGCATGCTAAAGATCTGTGTGAAGTTTTTTTGTGTGAAGTTAGCCCTGTATAAATATAAAGAAGCTTTCTTATCAGTTAGGTAAGGAAGCGGGATGGGGTTGCACATAAAGAAGATGGTAATTGGTCTCCAGAAGATTTCCGTAAGAGAAATGGCAGGGTCACAGGAAAGAGCGATGCAAACGAAGGTGCCAAGTGCGCTGTTTATGGTGAATAGTTCATTGTTTGATTTTATTTTTTAATTCTTTTTTAAATTGAACTATAGTCAATTACAATTTTAATTGTAGTCAGAAGAGTGGGAGGAAGAGGGGTGAGCCTCGAGTCTGCAAAGATAAGCCTCCATGATTTGGGGCTCCTTAGGCCAGGGACTGGCAGACAGCTGCCTGTGTGTTTCTGTACAGCCCGGGAGCTGAGGATGGTTTTACATTTTTAAACGATTGGAAAAAAAATGAAAGAAAGATGATGTTGCATGATACATGAAATTTATAGAGAATTCAAATTTCAGTGCTTATAAATGATGTGTTATTGTCACACTAGTTTACGTACATGTGGCAGAGAACATGGGGCCTGCAGAGTCTAATTATTTTCTATCTGGTCTTTACAGGAGAAGGTTGCCAGCCGCTGCCTTAGTTGTAATACTTGCTTTTTTAATCCTAAAGTTCATCATCCTTTGATGGCAATAAAATTCAACCACCTAGTTTTATAGTTTAGGAAGGAAAATGTCAAACAAGCTGCTGTCTCTTTCAGTGTCTCTGACATAGATGTTACTTGACAGATGGAGAAGCAACTTTCTCCACTGCATCACGAGTTGGGTCCGAGTGACTAGAATTTGATTTCAGGTTCTGGCTTGCTCTTGTGGGCTGCATTGTGAACAGGGTTTTGGTCAAATTTCCAAATATATCGAGTCTGACGATACATCATTTCAAGTGTTGAATCTGCTTAAACATTACCTTAATCACCTTCCCTCTCCTTCTCCTTGTCTTTCCCCTGTTGTTATTTTAACTTTTTTCCCCTACGTATAGCCTTGCTCATTAAATCTAATAGTTACGGAATACATTGCTTATGTAGAAACCAGTAAGGAGACACAGGAATGAAAATTTTACTGCAAAAGCTTTTTCTTCAATTGGCTTCACAGTCTTGTCCCGCACACCCCACCCCTCCCTGAAAACTAGTCTGGCTTATTCTTATTTGCTCTGAAACTCATTTTGTGGGGCAGTTCCTTCTGTCTGGAATCTTGATTCATAGCCTTTCATGTGAATTCTTTTATTGCTCTATTTTCCTAATAGCTTTTCTGCAACCAATCATCACGCGCAATCCCGTGTCTCTTTATGACTTGGCGGCATCCAGATGTCTTTCCTGCGTGTTGTTGCCTTTTAGACACATTTAAAAATCCAAGTTGCCATAAAATAATTGCATTCATTTGTGCATAAAATGTTAAATGATTCTTTCATCAGCCAAACTTTGACTTCAAGACAGAAAGACATGCTGTCCCTTTTGGTAAAGCTGAGTGAACATTTTAAAAGTTGTTTTGGTTTTGAATTGATTGCAAAGGAGATGGTAAATGGGATTTTTAAAAAACATGGTCTATCTTACATAGACATAATAGATAAAAATAAGATTTCTCTCATAATTTGTCAGTTTTTTAAGTAATCTAAGAACAAAATGAATAGGTTTATATCCAAGTTCTGTGTATGCTTAGAGTCTCTAAATACATTTAGATGAATAAAAATGCTATGTTTTATTTTTAGCAGAATCCAAATGAAATATTGGGTTACATGTATAGGCCCAAGAAAATTTCAATGAGGAGGTCAAGTTTCTTACAAGAGGATTTGCATCACGGTTACCTGAAGAGCCTTTTAAAAATAAATATGCTTGTGACTCAGGCTGGATCTGTTGAATTGAAATCTTCTTGGAAGGGGCCAGGAATGTGTGAGGAAGTCCCCCTGAGTGGTTCTAAATCTCACCTTTGGTTGAGAACCATTGGGCTAGACGCATTTTTAGATAATAGACAAAAAAGAGTGGCCTCATAAAAGTGTCACTGAATTTGTTAATGAGGTGCTCTTGAAGGCACTGGGTACCACGTGCTCCAGCATTTTCATGTGAAACCTCAGATAAGAATTAAAACTTGATTTTCCCATAGTAATTACATGAAATTCTTTGTAGTCAAGAAGAACAATTAACTGGCTGTTTTCCTGCCCCTACCTTCTGCCTCAGCCATCTGGAGCCTCTGGGCAAAGGGATAGTTCAGTTTTCAGGCTCCTGAGGTTAGATACCTGCATTCTAGCTTTTTTCTAATTCAGCAAGAATTTATTGAGGCTTTTCAAAGAACCAAATTCAGAGCAGGCACTGCAAATGCTAGTGTTGAACAGAATAGTCTGGCGCTTACAGTCTACGGATGAGACAGATGATAAGCAGATAAAGATTTCAGTAAGTGCTCTTTGGCCTCGATATTGTGAACCTGTTTTGAGTATTGGTTTATATATTTTCATATACAAAATTGACCAGACATGAGCTCTGGAATCTTTTCATGCACTATTTGTGTGGAAATACACACACACACACACACACACATAGTGTGTATTTTTATATTTTATGTATATATTTGTGCTTTATACTTTAAGTATATATGTGTCATATATATCATACATATATATACATAAGAGTATGTTGTATGTATATATAGTTCACGTTCATACAACTACAGTGTTTTATTTTAATTAGCATCATATCCGTCTGGGGTGAGTTGGAATGTACACGTACTTCCATGTGTGTACACACATGTGCCCATACACATGCTGGATGAATTTAGGTTGCAGTTCTCAACATTACAGTTTAGCCCATTTTTCTTATTGCTTTATTATTAAATGACACTTGAAAATGACAAGTAAATTATGCTTTATATTTGATAGTATTTCTGTCAGTTTCTTTACTTTCTAGAATTTTTGTTTTTACATCATTAAATGTAACGAATATTTTGGGACAGTTTTTCAGCGGTGAGACTGAGATGGAAAGCCCCAACAAGCTGGGACTCTGTGCCCCTTGCAGAAAGAGAAGCGTGTTCTTGTCACAGCTTCCACGTGTTGGGTATATAATTCTTTCTTTTTTCACAGATGGTGCCTCACTAGTACAACATTAAGCTGCCCTTACAACTTTAAGTTACCATATGGCTTGACTTGGGTCACTGTTTTTGAGAAAAGTGATGGCATGTTAATTCTGTTGGAAAGTTGCAGAATACAGATTCTGAAATCTAACTGCCAAGCATCGAATATAGACAGAGAGCTAGTGTACCCCGATGGCGGGATGCAGAAGGGAGAAGGCGCGGGTGTTTCCGCAAGAAGAATCAGCTGTTTCCAGGCTGTACAAACTCAATGTGCCGCCTCTTCTGCTGCAGCTGCCTTTGGAGCACCTGAAAGTTTAGGATTGTCACGGAGTCCCCGAAATCATTGACAGTGACCTTTTAAATGAGAAGTTCAATGGAAAGCTGTATTTTTCTTCCTTTTAAACGTATACCCCTGGATAATGCAGTTAAATCACATGATGGAAGTATATCACCTTAATGTCCCTTATGGAAAATATTTTAAAATCCTATCAGTTGTCTTCCAAATCATATTCCAAAGGCCTGCGTTTGCCCACGCGATGGACTGCAGCAGAGTGGATTAAGTTTGCTCAAAAGTCCTTACCATCTCTGTAAAGAGCCAGAAAGCAGCAAGGAGTCTGACTGGCATTGTTATTTATTATTTTTATGCATTCTCATGGCTGAGTCCCTACTGCACTTATTGACATTCATAAACAAGGTTCTGCTTTGCTGGCTCTTTAATTGGCAATTTAATTTTCCAAACAATTTTCTTTACAGGACTTGGATTTTGAAGCCAAAACCAGTTACACGCTACGGATAGAAGCTGCCAACAAAGACGCCGACCCTCGTTTTCTAAGCTTGGGACCGTTCAGCGACACGACCACCGTGAAGATAATCGTGGAAGACGTGGACGAGCCCCCCGTGTTTTCCTCACCCTTGTACCCCATGGAGGTGTCGGAAGCCACCCAAGTGGGGAACATCATAGGCACCGTGGCCGCGCACGACCCGGATGCTTCCAACAGCCCCGTGAGGTAAGAGCTCCCCGCTCTCCTTCTCTGCACTTTTGCAAGGTGCCGTTTGCATCACTCACGTCTCCGTAGGATGATGCTTTTGGTTCGTGGCAAAGAAAAACCAGTATTTGTGTTTTGTATGTAGTTGTATGTAATCGAGCCAAAGCAGCAGAAGTGACACGGGATCAGAACAACTCAGCT